TGGACCGAGAAAGCCCAGACTGGATGTCCAACACCCTGGGGATATGGCTTGTGCTTGTTAGGACTTGGCTTCCTTTGGCTCCTACACAGGGTTCTGTTGTGACACCAAGCCTACTCTCAACCATCAACAGAAAAATAAGCATAACAGTATTTACAGGGCTGTAAGGACACTTGCCTTAACATCTGCGGCTATTGCAGGGAAATTACTGATCAACAGGATTAGAGGAGCCGGGCCAATTTAAAATTCTCTATAAATGCCAGATTCTAATGAGCAAATCCAACCTCTGTGGGGGAGAGTAAGTGAATGGGAACAGGTCTTCCTTCTGCTTTCTGCTTCCTCCAATCTCTGTGGGAGATGTTCAGCATCGCCCCACCCCCACTTGGTGTCCCTCCAGTACACAGATTTCCACTCGTCTAGAGGGGGCTGCGGGTCTCATGCTGGGCCCCCTTCCAGCCCCTTGCCTCCCATTGCCAAAAGTGGCTTACCAACAGGCTGGGTTCCTGTGGGAGTTTCCAGGACACATGCGTCAACGGGAACTCTCAGAGACGCCGTCTGGTTGTTGAGGTCCATGACGTTCCCCCAAATTAAGACATCCAGAAACAAGCTTTTATAACTCGGGACAGATTTTAAATCTCCCTGGAGCAAATTCAGGCTTTTGGTCCAACTGAGAGCACTGACAAGATGTAGGCTATTAGTTGATGAGGCCCCCAGAAACTCTGTGTTAGTGAGACCCTTTGTGCATGAGACTCTGAGGCCTGGAAAACAAAGGGACTGAGAGAGGGAAATTGGTTTCTGGTCTATCCACCGAGTTTCTGCATCCCACTCCACTGGAGAATCAGGGGATTCTCTTATCCCCAAACCCAGCCCACTGCTATCTACTCCACTCTAGCTCAGAGCAACCCCGTAGGGGGCTTCCAAGATTTGAATCTTTATGGGAGCAGACTCCTCGTCTTTCTCCAGGAGCAGCTGGTGGGTTTGAACTGCTAATTTTTCAGACAGCAGCTTAATGCCTAGCCAACTGAAAGCCAATAAACCCAGTGCTGTTGAGTCGGTTTTGAGGCACAGGGACCCCAAGAGATATAGGGCTGTAATGCTTACAGGAGCTGGCATCCTTCTCCTACAGACGTGCTGCTGGGGGGTGAAGCCCTGACTTCAGTTGAGCAGCTGGATGCTTAGCCACTGCACCTCCAGAGCCTGGGTTGAGCCAGTAAAAAACAAAACAAAACAACCCATTGCCATCAAGTGGATTCTAAGTCACAGTGACCCTATCCACAGTTCCTGAGACTTTATGAGGGGGGTACCCCCCAAAAAACCCAGATTTTTTTTCAAAGCTATGTATTTAAATTTTTTTTACAAAACAACCTTATCACCTTCAAAGTACTTTCCATGACACTTAAGACATTTGTCAAATCTGTGATTCTATTCTTGGAAACATTTTTTTCTTTTCTTTAAAAATTTTTTATTTATTTAAATTTTTTGGAAACATTTTTTCAAACTCACCTGTGTGGATGCTGACAGCACCTCCCTTGTTTTTGGCTTCTTCTCTTCTATGTCGCCAAGTTCCTGTCCTTTCATGTCCCTCTTCGTTCTGGGAAACAAAAAGAAGCCACACGGAGTGAGGTCGGGTGAATAAGGTGCATGGGGCTAGAGAGCCATGCTGGGTTTTGCCAAAAGCTGGTGCACTGAGACGGCTGCTTGAGCAGGTGCATTGTCGTGCTGGCAAACCCAGTGCTCCGTCTGCCCCCGCCCTCTGTTTTGGTCGCATACTGTTAAACTATCTTTTCAGAATCTCTAAATAGCAAGCTTGATTAGCAGTCTGACCTGGTGGAAGGAACTCCAAATGCACTATGAGTCAACATTTTCATCCTTCCGGACGTTGATGGACATCCAGAATGAGGTTTGTCATCAATTGACATTTCATCTTTTTAGAACGAGAAAACCTTTCGTTCACTTAAGTTTTTCTCATAGAGCTGTCCTTGGAAGCTGTGTCCAACATCACAACAGTTTCGGCGGCACTTTTCCCTGCAGGAAACAACACTTTTCTGCCGCATGCTGTTCTCTTAAACCTTCCACCACAAAAAGCGAGGTTTGAGTGAAACTGCTTTTACCAAAAAATGGTCTGTGACCAGACAGAACCTTCTCAGGTGAGGCCACGGGGTACATCCGCGCGAGTTGCTGGATGCTTGCCTGGAGGGAAAGATATGTACTACAAAAGATCTGCCCTGCTCAGCACAATTCTGTTTGGAGTAGGTACCTCCTCATACATCTTTGCAGGAGCCGGGCCCTATTGCTCCTGAGAAGCAACTGGTGGGTTTGGTTTAAATGGCTGATCTGGTGGTTAGTCATCGCTCGGTGCCTAATCCAGCAGGGCTCTTCATTTAAACTCACTGCCATTGATTTTATCTCAGTGGTTCTCAACTTTCCTAATGCCAGGGCCCTTTAATACAGTGCCCCATGTTGTGGTGACCCCCAACCATAAAAGTATTTTCGTTGCTACTTCGTAACTATAATTTTGCTACTGTTGTGAATCAGGCGACTCCTGAGAAAGGGTCATTCGACCCCCAAAGGGGCTGCAACCTACAGGTTGAGAACCGCTGGTCTATCCCAATTATAGAAACCAAATAAGACAAGGAGAATTGCCTCTGGGGGTGGCTGAGGTGGTTTCTGTTTATGGGAGCAGACAGCCTCGTCTTTCTCCCTTGGGGTGGCTGGTGGTTTTCAACTGCTGACTTTGTGGTTAGCAAACCTGTAACCCCTAACCCACTACAGCACCGAGGCTTCTTAGAGTTGAGCCAATGGATGCTACTATTTCCCAAGTCAAAGTGAGTTGCTGGCTCCCTGCAGCTGGAATCAATCATTCTAGCTGATCAGCCCGGGCCCTGCCCACTGTCCCTTACCTGGATGCACCTTCAACATACATCCAAGGCTGAGGCTTCCTTTGCTCCACCGAAATCTTCCTTGTCCGAGGCCTCTGCTGTGGGCTGGGGTTATTTTGGTCTCTGTAATGGCAGAAGCTATGTGTGATAAGCCCTCTTGCCCAAGTGACTGAACGGAAGGATGATGGCACGTGCCAAGTCATTCTAGCTATCGCCTGTCACGCTCTTTATCCGGGAGCACGTCCTTGCTGTCTCTGTTTCTTGCACCAGTTTAGGCAGGTTGGAATGTTCTCCTGTCTGATTGCAAATCCATGCTTGGGGTTTAGAGGACAGGTGCTTTGGACTTTGTCAGAGGAGCACGCTGTGGCAGGAATGCGGGACACCTGGCTCAGCCTGAAAATCGAATCCAGGGTTTCTGACTTTGTGTGTGTTATTGTCTTCGCCCCACGGCAGTTGGGTAACCCAGGTAGTATCCCTACTGGAGGTAAATGGCCAGACGCAGTGACTCAGGACAAGGGAAACCACAAGGACTTTGATGGTGCCAGGGTTGCTGAAGCTCTTATCTTATCCTCTGGACCTTCTCCTTCTCCACGTTTGGCTTCCTTCTCTAGGGGACAGAAAGATGGACAGGATTCGGACATCACACCCAGACAAGGCAAAGTCAATAGGAAGATAGTTCTCTCCTGCCTTTTTTTGTTATTGTAATTGTCATTGGGTCAATGCCCTGTGTGTCTTTGGGTCAATTCCTGTGTGTCATTAGGTTAATTCCCGGTGTGTCATTAGGTCAGTTCTGCGTGTCATTGGGTCAGTTCTGCGTGTCATTGGATCAATTCCCGGTGTGTCATTGGGTCAGTTCTGCGTGTCATTGGGTCAATGCCCTGTGTGTCATTGGATCAATTCCCGGTGTGTCATTGGATCAATTCCCGGTGTGTCATTGGGTCAGTTCTGCGTGTCATTGGATCAATTCCCGGTGTGTCATTGGGTCAGTTCCCTGTGTGCTGGCGTGTCAATCCCAACTAATAGCGATACCATACAACAGAGGAGAGCTACTTTGTAGGGTCCCCTTGGCTCTACTTAGATCTTTACAGGTGCAGACTGCCTTATCTTTCTCGTGCGGAATAGGCTTGAAGGACTGAACTTCTTGATTGCAGCCAGGCACTTGCCCTTGCCCTACTAGCACTCCTTGTCTTCTCTCGACTATATCCCCCAGCCATTTGCATTTTATTGGGTGCTAGGTCCATGTCCACCCGTCTTCAACTCTTCACCGGATGGATAAGGGCTGTCACCAGTCACTTAGAATAACCAGCTAGTGAGAACCAGATGTGGGCAGCAGAGGGATAGTACCTACCATGGTATTGCTGTCAAATCTGTTGTGTAGCACTTCAATATATTTGACTTGGGGTGCTGTGGATTGTGGTTATCAGACTCCCCATTTGCTCACACCCTCTGTTTCCATACCGTAGGGTGGTCCTCCCCCACATTGACTAGGGCGTGGCTATGTGACCAGCTTGCTTTGATGGATGGGACAATAGCAAGCACCACACCAAAGGGCTGCCTTCCAGTTGCTCTGGGGATCACTATAGCCTGTGCTGAATAAGCCTGGGCTGTAGCCCCCTAACCATCTACAATGAGGTTGAGAGATTTCAGGCTAATCAAGGTCAGGCATGACTAAGAAAGGGCAATATTTCAAGGCAGGCTATTGGTTGGGGATGTTGCTATGATACCTGTTGCTGGATCCCCTTCCATGTTGCTAGGAGAATTCCTCTGGGGGAGATGGGAAGTAGAGAGGCCCTTACATGTCCAGGCCATGTCCCTGAGCCCCAAGATGGGGAGTTTCTGGGTCAGAGAGCTTATAACACACAGCAGCGAGAAGTCTTGTTAGCATCCACTTAACACACTAACAAGAATAATAATTTAGGATAATAATAACATAGCACAGGTTCAAAAATACTAGCAGTATCAAGTTTTAATCAAACCTGAAAAGTTTTAATTTGTGCATAAAGTGAATTTCTTTTTTATTTTATATTGCATGGGGCACATTTAACATTACTTTCTATATGTTAATAAACAAGGCATTAGGCACATTAAGAGGAGACAGAAATCAACATTTATGTATGTATGTATGTATGTTTGGAATGCTTCAGGAATTTGCGTATCATCCTTATGCAAGGGCCACGATAATCTCTGTATTGTTCCAATTTTAGCATATGTACAGTCAAAATGAGCACCAACATTTTTGTGTGTGCAAAATTTATTTCTGTTTTGCATTTATCTGAGGGCAAATTCTGAGGGCGTTTATAAGAACCTTATGTTTACATCTTATCAGACTATTTCCATGTAGAGATGGCACCGTTCCTTGAGGAAATAAATTAAGTGGATATTTACATAACAAAATTACATAAAAGGCTTTTTTTCCCATTTCCCTTCAGATTAATGTTCTTTTAAGAAATTGACAAACATGGTTATGACGCCCTAAACACACTTGGTCATGAAGAAATTATGCTATCCACAGTGTGGTGGAGACAACTGATGGCACCCATGTGTCATAAAGAGTAGCCTCTGGGGTCTTAAAGCCTTGTTTCCAAACAAGCGGTCACCTAAATGAGGACTAGCTAAGCCCACATGGAAGGAGCCCACCAGCCTATGTGACCCAAGGATTGTAAATAATAAAATCTACATTCAGAGGAGGGATGAGTAATAGAGCTTATATTCTGAATACCCGGTTTGCAGAGGGCTATGGATGGCAGTGAAAGACCCAAATTCATTTTCAGGGACCCCCATGTAAATTAAGGCTCTGGTGAATTGCGACACCCCCACCCCCGGACTATGGACTATGGACTATGGACTATGGACTATGGAATGGAAGGGCCTTGTTATCAGACAGCATGCTTTGCTGGATGGGTTCCTGCAGTTATAGTTAGGTTAAATGTAATGCCTTGTTATTTGAACTCCCTTTTGATCCAATGCATATTTATTGGAGCTTTCAGTATTTCCTGCTTTCTTTGGGATAGAGATCCTTTCCTCTGTTCTATTACGTCATTGCTGTTAGACTTTTTTTTTGAGCTTTATGCTCTTCTGAATATAAAGCAAAACGAACTCCCAAATCACTGCCATCTGGCGACCCTCTGGGAGAGAGGAGAACCGCTCTCGCATGTTTCTGAGCCTGTAACCCCTTACAGGAGTAGAGAGGCTTGGCTGGTGGTTAGCAGTTAGCAGCCCAAGCCAGGAAAGGTGAATTTATAGACAGAGATTGGCTTAGTCCTTTCAGAAGTCATGGCCAGGGAGGTTGGTGGGGGAGGAAGGCCAACCATAATGAGTACCGGGAAGAAGAGATGCCCTGGGAACCACTGTGCTGACAGTTGCACACCTCTCAGGAAATGATCGACCTATTGAAATGCATGACATGTGGATTATATGTCACTAAAACCGCTCAAAGGTGATGCTATTGTTACATCAAATATGTACGTATCTCTGGATACAGGAGCTAAATAACTCCACAAAAAAGTAAAGTATACATTTCATAAACCTTGCATATAATAATAATTCAGACCGATGGGATCTAGTCTCCCATTTAGTTCTCTCATGTTTATCAACGAGAATGTGCCACCAACACAATAATCATGTGACCTGTGACGGCTCTGGTCCTGTCATGCATGAAGTGCACCAAGATGCGTCTGCTGATTGAGCATCCCCTGGTGTTTGGGTCATGTGATTTGAGATCCCTCTCATCCCTCTTGGCTATCAGCAGCAGTCCAATAAAGTGTGAGGGTTCCATTAGAGGATAGGGAGTGAGTGTGCAAGTCTTAAAGTGTCCTTTCAAGACCCCAAACACTCAGCGCTCTGTGAAGGGCCTTTGGCTTTGGCAGGGTCGACTAGAGAAACAGAACCAGTGACACTCATGCGTGGATAAGAATGAGCTTTCTATCCACAAGTCATCTGATATCAAGAAGGCTCAGTGCAATAGTCTGATCCCAGCCCAGCCCAACAGGCCGATCAATGTTTGCCTGAGCCTTCTTCAGACTCAGGCAGCTGCGGGCTGATGACGCAGAAAGGGAAGTGGTATGCAGGGTGCAGAGTTCTATGAATCCGAGGTCGGTGTAAACATGGCGGGGAGCGGACAGCTCCCAGGCCAACTCCCAGGGTTGTTAGCCTACATAGGGCCACCTCTGGAGGCAGAAACAAGAGTTCCAGCAAGGAGGAAAGCGAGGGGCAAAAGAAAGAAGAAGTTCCTCATTGTCTCCCAAAGGAGACACCATTGGGCTATAACCTGATTGACAGGCTGGATCCCACCCCTATCCTTTCACTTAGGAGGCTGGTTAACATCAAATCTAATTGCCATAGCCACAAACAGTGTGTGACAAATGAATGACATTATTTTGGACTGCCTTTTAGGGACTATCACAGGCTTGAAGATCAAGTGACATGTCTGAAATCAATTATTTTACTTGCAAATTTTCAAATATAAGTTTTTGTGTCAGAATTTGTAAGTTTCATCTTGCAAATTTTACTTGTTTCAATACTTTTATTGACTTTCAGAACTCAATCAAACCCATTCGCTGCTTCTAGAGCTCTGCTGTCGAGTCAGTTCCGATCCACAGGGACCTTATAGGACATATTCGGGTCTCCAGACTGCACCTATTTGTGGGAATCGATGGCTTAATCTTCCTGCAGGGACAAGGCTGGTGGGTTTGAATCTCTGAGTGTGCAATCAGTGCCCAATGCTGAACTTACTCCATCACCATGGAAGAACTTAATTTAAGAAGTGACAACATTTAATATCCAGCTAAAATGACATGGCAACCAAATAATGGAGTGTAAAGATGAAAGCTCAGAGAAAATAAAAAGAAAAAAGATTTGTGAATCCTTAAAGACTAGTCCAAAACGAATTCCCTTTGTAAAATGAAACAATTCAGAACAGATTCTTCTTTGAACACTCAAATTTTAAAAACTTTTATTGGGGGCTCTTGCATCTCTTATAGCATTCCATACACCGGCTGTATCAATCACATTTGTGCATATGTTGCCATCATCATTTTCAAAGCATTTTCTTTCTATTTGAGCCCTTGGTATCAGCTCCTCTTCGGTTTACATGGATGCATGTTGTTTTAAAGGATACAACCAGAGCCAAAATGGCTAATCACAATGTGAATGTAAGTGAATTTGTTCCAGATTCTGAATCAGTTCTTTTAATGGTATGGAAGGTGAAATCATTTAAGGATTCGAAATGGTTACCTCTGTAGATCCTACAAATCACCGGAGCACAGATCCTGCTCTGTGGAAGAGCCTTTCTTCTAACGATGCAAATATTGGATGGGAAGAGCTAAATGAATGTCAACCTCACCGTGGGCCATTTGAAACTCACTGAAAATTTCTGAAGGAGAAGAAAGCAAGGTTCTAGAGCCAAAATATATCTCTAGGGGACAAAATTCATGGTGGAAATTATTACAGTCAGCTGTGTGTATTGTTTGGTTTGCAAACTATTCAGTGGAATTCTTGATTTGCTACAGATGGATTTAGCGATTGGTAAATTTTGCGACCACAAAATAATTTATTACAACTCTGCTCCGGACAGACCTGTGTACAAGCCCAAGCCCCTGACCACCCTGCCTAGGGGGTCTTCTTCCCCGGGCCCTTCGGACCTCCTCAATCAGGTCTCTCGGATACTGCATCTCCTGGGCCAGGGAGTCAGCCCTCTCCTTCAGCACCTCCTTCTTCTCCTCCAGCTCCCTGCACTCACCAGCAGGGCCTCCTGCTCGGCCCGCTTCTTCTGG